TTAGACTCTTGAAGCACTTAGAAAACCTTCTGTTACTTAATTTTTAGGTGCACCAGAACCTAAGTCCTGAATAGGCAAAACTGTTAGCCCTTAATCTTGTTGGAAAAAGCAATGAAGTGCAGCATTTTTTTCTACTAATCTTGAATCTAGACTGCTCCAAGCTCTATACTATCAACCTCTGATTTCCACTGATACATTTAAAATAAAACAAAATAAATTCTCTATCCCCTTACTTCCCACTGTGTAAAATTTAGGGCAGGGCTTGAGGGCTGGGTTTTGGATGTGTGACATTCCTTTTTGTACCTGTATTTCCCTGCTAGCAGTTCTCCCTGGACTAGGGCACGTTACAATCTTTCTTGTTCACTTGCAGTTTTACCCTGGCAAGCAGTCTTTTCAAGAGTAAGACTTCTCTATGCCTGAGTCTAGACATCTCATTTTTGGATCCCAGTGTCCTTTGTTCTCATCTAATACTAGCTTTCCTCTATTGGTTTTCCTGCTCTTACACTCATGGTTTGCCAGAACACAGATACGTATGTAAGTACAAAAGTTTTAAAGCGTTAAAATAAGATAGAGGGAAAACAGTCTATGGTTAAGGCATTTGTCCCTGACCCAGCACACTTGGATTCACTTCTCAGCTGTACAAGTCATGAAATCTGTGCATTTTCAGGCCTGCATGTGGAAAATGGTGATGATAACGCTTCTTACTCAACGAAATACTTCAGTGCTAAACTCTAATTTGTGAAATGTGCTCAAAGAATATTGTGTTGTGCATCCGAAGATAGGTTTGGGTAAGATGTCTGAGCTGCTTAACCATCCCCTGGTACCAAAAAGGGCATATTCTTGGTACTTCCTCACTTCTGCTTGTACAGTCTTACTCCATCGCTTGTCCTGGCTTTGGCATTTGTCTGGACCCCTGGCAATCAGGTCAACTCACCTGACAAAAATTGAATAGATTTGTGGTGGTTGAGTAGTATTACATTAATAAGGGAACGAAGCATCACCAGAGCTCTTGCATGAGAAGGTAACTCTGGTGGGAGAAGGATGTTAAATTATATCAGTCTTAATATGTAGCATGTTGTTAACCTATGTCAGTCTCAATGTGTAGCTTCTTCCTTAAAATGTTTTATAAACCTAGTGATAATAAGTAAATGAATGGAGACAAGTGTTTTTGTGAGCTGCTTCTCCAATATTCTTATCCCATCATGTCATCTTTCCCAGCACTCCTTTTTTTATGCCATGTTGCCTTAATCTTGGGTCTGCCTTTAGCCTTCCTAAGATGTGCTAGTCTGCTAGCATTTTACAGCTTCTCTTGCTCAGGGGGTAGTCATCTCTGGAACCAGACTTTGCCTTCTTAGAGCTGTAAACAGCAATATGCACAGCTTCACCCAATATAAACTTTACCTGTTTGCTGCTGACTTTCATTTTGCTGCAGGTAGTGTTGTCTCTGTGGTGCTTATCTGTCTACCAGGGTTAACCCACAACACTGTGTAAAATCCTTTGATCCACATTGAATCTTAAACACATCCTCCTCTGTATCAGGGCAGCACAGCTTAGATCCCAAGAAGAAACCAGACAGTGATAACTGTGGACATATTTTGAGAAGGAGCCCTTATCACGTGCTTAGTAGTGCTGCATTCAGTTGACAAGGAGGCACATTAGGCGTAAAGTAGAAGGAAAGTAGCTCCTCTCTTAAAGGATCTCCATTGAGGTTGGATGCAAAGCCATCCCCTAAATATATCTGATGGCTTTGGGGCCCAGTGCGGCAGATCATCCATCTTGCAAAACCAAGAAGTTAAGGGGGAGCAATCCATTAATTTCCTTTTTTTTTTTTCCTGTCCTGTCACGCATGTTGTGACTTCTTTGCTTTTCCAGACTTCCCTGACTTTACAGGCTGTTAAGTCTGCTCTTGCCCCACAGAGGCTTATCAGTCCCCTAGAGAGGTGTCTCCAAAAGCGGAAGAAAAGGAGAAGCAGGATCAGTGGCCTTCCTTTGATCACTTCACTGCATCCTGGAACAATTTATGTTTGAAGGGACACTTGGATGGCATCTGTGTGAAGCAGGGCTAATGTTAGCGCAGGTTGTTGAGGACTGTGTCCAGGTGAGTTTTGAGTGTCTCCAAGGATGGCGATTGTATGGCTTCTCTGAGAAAGACCTGCTTATATAGTCTGAATTACCACCTGCTTTGGAGAGAAAGTGTATCAGGATTTTCTTGAAGTTATTAGGGTCAAATGGAAGCTTTGTCATCCAAGAATTTTGCCACCTCCAAACTCATTTGTTAGCTTCTGAGTTTTTGACCCCTACTTTCTATGAGCTTATTTTTTGTTCTCATTATTTTTCTGTTCAGTAGGTGAGAAATGTATTGGCTGTTTTGGTTTTGTGTATTTTCTTTCTACAAGATCTGCGTTCAAGGATGGAGACAAACATTTTAACATCAGCATTGTAGGGATGTATATCTTTTTCCATAGGAGCTCCCATAACACCTCACAGTGTACAAAAAGACAGCTGGCATAGGTTCAGCTTGCAGCATTTATGGGGGAAAAAATCAAGATTGTCCTCTTTCAATGCCTTCTGAGAAATGTAAATAATTACAAAAAAACATAGCAACAGATTTGTTTTGTTTTGTTTGGAATATCATCAGATATTTTGCTGCTCCAGGCTTCAATAGAAATTGGGAAACGTTATTTGCTTTGCATAAAGCTGTTTAATTATTTGTATTTCATTAAATATATAGCACACTGGACATTGGGTTTTTTTAAAAAAATCTGTCAACAGCAAACAATATTACATAGCTTAATAAAAGACTAAAATTAGTTGTGACAAAATGCATTTTAAACAGTGTTTTAAATCAGTACAATTAGCAATTGCTTTTTAACTAACTGAATAAAAATTCAGTTTATGAGCAACTATCTTACTAATAACTTAGCAGTGATAAGAATAAATCCTTTCTAATATGAAAATTCAACTTCTAAAACACCCTTTGTACACACAAATCTTTAGAATTTTGTGCATAATGTGTTTAGATTGATAAACTACAATATTTATTTTGTTGTGGAAACATTTTTTTCCAGCAGTTTTGAGTCTGTATGTAGGGAATCTCTCATCCAAGTGATCAGCAAAGGAACCCAGGTGCTGGAGAACTACTTTAAAAATTCACTTGCACTTGCTGTCCTCCATTTTTATTCCATTTGGCTGATCTTGGAAAATGTGGAAAAAAAGAAATTCTGTCTGACAGCTGGGAAATAATAACTTGAGACAGTCAACACTTCTGCTTTTTTTTTTTTTTTTTTTTTTTGGTGGTGGTGGTTTTTTGTTTGTTTGAATTTGGATTTTGTTTTGGTTTTGGGGGTTTGGGTTTTTCTTCTGGATTTCCTGCAGTCAGAAAAGAACATCCTACTAGTGCAGTCTGGTTGCATACTTGCTTCTTTGGCAGCATCCTCAGCATGTGGCTATCCTCATGAATGTTAACTCGAGCATTTGCAAATGATGCTTTCTTATTCTGAGAACACCCTGCCTGCAGTTCAGTGCTACCTGTTCATACAGAGTGACATACTAAGAAACTAAAAATATTTAGTGAAGTATTAGTGAAAAATTTGTGAAAAGTGCCTTGGCTTCAAAGTAATTGACAGAGATGAGTAATAGAATAATAAAGAAAAAAATCATTTAAACACCAACAAAAATGCCTCTGGAGATACAGTTAAAGTTTGTGCCACAGATACTATGGAAAACCAATTCTGTTTTCTTCTATATGCTTGTGGGTTATGCAGACTAAGAGGAAGTGGTCAGGAAGTGTTTTCATGTGCTTGTCATGGCTTGGCCTAACAGAACCTAACAGAACCTAACAGAACTAACATTTTGCACCTCAGAATAGATGTTTCTGGTAAACTCATACTAAATTACAGCACCATATAAAGAATTAAAAGGTAGAAATGTAGCATTTTTAAAAAAAAATACAATTCCAAAAAGTGTTACAGTACCTTCATGCTTTTTGGGGGGATTTGGTACTTTTGCTCTACTTAGGTAGATCAGAAAGATATTCTCAGAGAAAATAAGGAACAAGCATAAGTGAGATCCATCTATGGCAGATATATTTTTTGTGTTTAGAAATATGATCTGCTTTTGTGTTTCATTTTAAAAAGATGTGAAGGAGAATGTCTAGAAATTAAGTACGCAACAGGAAGAATAATAAAAAGGGGAAAAAAGCAATTAAAGTTAGCCAAAAAAATCATATCTCTTTGAAAATGTTGTTAGAAATATTAATAAAAAATGGAGAAAACAATTACAGGTCTTGGGGAAAAGGAGAAGAAAAGCATATTATTTGCAAATCTTGCCAACCAATTCCAACTTTCAGTATCTATTTGCATCCTTCATTATGGTCATCTTTTTGATGAATATTCACCAGTTGTTCTTATAGACAAACTTACAGACAAAACAAAGTCCCATGATTGATTCTCCCTAAACTAATCAAATGGATGTTCTTTGGATAGAGCTATTTAAAGTCAACCAGCTTATATTCAGCTTCAGATTACAGGAGAAGGACAAGAGAAATGCATGTTTCTGCAGTACAGCCTATTTTGCCATGTTTTTTATTCCTTACAGCATGAATTAGTAGTTGCGTTTGTCAAATACAGTGTTTGCCCAGCCAGTGGAAACTGGCAGCGCTGTAGAATCCTCCGTATTTATGGACAGACATATGAGTGCATGTCTGCTGTGCCGAGCATAAGTGCAGACAGAAGGCATTACTGAAAAGCATTTCAGTTATAATGTTACAGCAGAAGATTTACTTCTGAAATATATAGTAGAGAAGAAAATTTCTCTGTTGAAGTAAATACATAACAAAATAGCATTTTGCAGAATGCAAGAGTCACTGCTAACAATGTGTTGTAGGAAAGTTTTGTATAAAGAGTATTTAAATAGTTCTTCCTTTGCTTCTAAAAAAAGCAGCACCCAAATGTGGCATGCAGTTTCTTTACTAACAGTTGCCTCCTTTGTTTTCTATTTAGGAAGAGCCCTTTGTCATGGTGTCTGAAAATGTTCTGGGAAAACCGAAGAAGTATCAGGGCTTCTCAATAGATGTGTTGGAAGCCTTGGCCACTTATCTTGGCTTCAAGTACGAAATTTATGTTGCACCAGATCACAAGTATGGGAGTCCTCAGGATGATGGGTCATGGAACGGACTGATAGGAGAACTGGTATTTAAGGTAAGGTTATTAATAACTTACTAAATAAGGTCATGTGATAAAGCTAAATAATATATGGTATATTATGTTTGCATCAGCCAGTAACATTTTTAATGAGTCAGTGATAGCACTTTGTTTATTGCCTGTGTTGCCAGCATTTGATAGTATGCCCGGGTGCAGTTGGCGGTAAAGAAAAAGCTAGAAATAATGCTTCCTGGTAACTATCTAAGAAGCAGGGCAATCTATTTTTTCCAACCAAAGTACAGCAGTATGAAATCTGAATACAGTCAAATAATGGGATGCACAGTATCCTAATTAATTTGGCAAGACCTGACACAAATGAGTTGAAGAGGCTGTTCGAAAGAGGAAAAATTGGTGTTGCAGTAATTAGTGAAACATTACATAAATAATGTATAGCACTTAGAAAAATGTTGGCGTGATGAATACATGAAGTATATAATCAACAGAAAATGTTTTATTTATATATAATAACACTTACATTATGTAGATGTATGAATCAAGAGTAATATGTTCTCTATTCTGTAATTAATAAACCATTTAGTCTACTTAATTTTACATTAAATTTTCAATATTGTATCATAAATAAATTAAACCAAATAAATGTGGCATATTTTTCTTTTTTTTCCCACTCTTCACATCTTGTCTGTTTGCAGTTTCTCCCATTGAGCGAGCAAGACAGGGCTATGCAGACTCTATTCTGCTGATGTCTCATTTGTGCTGTGAACATATATATTTTATTTGCTTTTAGTTAACCTGTAGAGGCAGCTTTTACAGCTATAGACCTACTCTTGTTGTTTTTCCTTAAATAACTACAGTACGTATTCGTGTAAATAACTTACTGGTTATATATGGAAGTTCTTTTCCAGATCTGCAGGTGGAATTTAATTGATAATTACAGCAAAGAACAAGGAGCAATGCAGTTAGATACAGGTCCTAATCATTAAATACTTCAGCTAAAAGTTAGCAAAATGCTGGAAAATAAGTCTTGCATTAAAAGGAAAAAAAAAAAAAAACAAAAAAAGAAAAAAAAATAGAAAAATTGTCTCCATGAGAAAAAAAAACCCTAATGAGAGGTTTAACCTATTCTGCCTTCCTGAGCAGTAGGAAGCCTGTTGGAATGGAAAACAACCACACATGCTGTACCCGTGGCACGGTTCATACAGCTACACTGTAGTAATAAACTTCCTTTGCCATCTCCCTGTGCCCTTATAAAGCTGGAAGGTGGAATGCTGTGATCGTAGATGGGAAGCTGGAGCCACTTAGAAAAGTATATTTTCCTCCATCTTATAAACTTTAACAACTAAAAATGCCTTGTCTAATTATGATACGTAACACCACAATGGTGTATTGATTTTTTAATAATTTTTTCTTCTCCTTAAATCTAATGTTATACTATACCTTACTCTCTGTAGTACTCAGCAGGCCACTGCATAACAAAGGCTGGAGGAGTCTTAGTCCTAGCTGGCTCTGGAGATGGAAGTGGGCCTGGAACATTTTTTTATTTATTTGAAATGAATGATTCATAAGGCAGAACTCATAACAACTGAAATCAAATGGTTG